GAAATGCTTTAATTATATTAATAAAAATTATTTTAAAATGTTTAAAATAAATATTATTTTTATTATTATTATATTAAGATATATTATCTTTTTTAGTATGAATAAATTGTTTAAAAATAATTTTAGATTGAAATAAATTGTTTATGATTTAATATGTCCTATTTAATATATTTTATATAAATTTTAATTCTTATAGTTTATTAATAATTGTATAAATTTTAAGTTTATGCCTAAATTGTAAAAAAATAATTTTATATTAAAATAGATTTTTTTTGGTTTATTAATAATTGCATATATTTTAAATTTATCCATAAGTTGTTTAAAAATAATTCTTTACTAAATTAAATTTTTTGCAATATCTTTGTAATATTTCATATATACTTCTTAATTGGGTTTCTATTATTATTAGTATTATTATTATTATTATTATTTTTAATTCAAGAGTCATGTTATAGATTAAACATTTCAAGTAGGCACTTTAAACACCAGGTCTGAGGTCTCTATGGAACGGTATTTGTATGGAATTATAACTGAATGAGTTTTTCAGACTGACATATACTATTCTTTTAAAAAAATAATAATTAATTATTAATTAATAATTTTTTGAAATCACCTTGTTTGTGATTTAGGTATTAATTGTTAAAGAATATGTTTAAATGAAAAGTATGGATTTCAAATTTAGCTATAGATTTGATCTATTTAATTTTTCAAAATTTTATGTCTATTTTTTAGCCTACTAAATACCTTATTATCGATTTTGGTATTTTCTGTTGACGAATATAGTTAATTAGATAGGTTTAAATGAGAGCTATGAAATCTAATCAGATTGTATAAAATTTTAAATATACAAACTATATATTTCTTTAAAAAATTAATAATTAATTGTGTTAATAAATAATTCTTTAAAATCATTTTGTTTGTGGTTTAGGTATTATCTGTTAAAGAATTTGATTAATTTGATTGATTTAAATGAGAACTATGGATTTCAAATCTGGCTAGAGATTTGATCTATTTAATTTTTCAAATATGGTTAATTAGGTAGGTTTGAATGAGACCTATGGAGTGTCTTATGAGATTGTAAAAAATTTTAAATATACAAACTAAATATTTTAATGGAAATTTTTGGTACTGAAATAATGATGCTAAGAAAATAGTTATTTTCATCAAAATTGATTTTAGAAATCAAATTTATTAAAGAATGCTAAGCTTCTTTAATACTATATATGTATACAAAATAATTTTTTTTTGACTCATAATAAATTTTAATTTCTTTTGAGTTTCATAATTAAACTCTCAATATTGATTTAAATTAAATTTAAAATAATTTAAAAAAAAAATTTAAATATTAATTTCCAAAAAAACGACTTTATTAAGAGTCTTTATTAAGAGTTAAGTTAAGACTGTAAAATCGGCTTAATTTATTAGTTGGGAACTGATAAAAGTAAGCTATATATGACTATTATTACCTCTAAGAAGCTTTTAAAATTATTCATATTTCACTTTAAAATAAATTCAAACTATATTGAAATAAAAGAACTGATAAAAGTAATAGCATATAAGCTATATATGATTATTATTACCATTTAGTGACTTTAGAAACTATTCATATTTAAGTTTGATTAAATTACAAACCATATAAAAAAAAATTTTGAAAATATTCCATATATTTAAATTAATTAGGTTAAATTGTTAAAGCAAATGCATTAATCATTACAAAAAATATACAACTTTCAAACAAATTTTGCCAGTTGCTAACTCAAGATATTGAAAAATTTCAAAAGAAACTAATAGGAAAACGAGTTATAAAACCGTATTTGCATTATTTATAAGAAAAAATGATAAGTGTATTTTAAAATTTATTTTGTTTATTAAATAACAAAATAAAAACAAATTTTATCTTTTTAAGTTTATGTGTACGATGCCGGCCTTAAACTTCAAAATTCATTTTATTTACTTTTTTCCTGTGTACTCTATTAATACCGAAGAAGTCAAACCAACAAAAAATGTACCGAATAAAAATATTTATAAAAACGAAAAAAATCTCACATATATAAATATTTAATTTATGGCACACAGTGTATGAATATAAAAATATCTGCACACAAAAAATATACTCACACACTAAACTAAATAAAAAAAGATCTATTAAAAAACTGAAGGAAAAAAATCAGCCATAGAATTTATTTAATTTTTTTTCTCTTTTTAATTTAAAAATAAACAGAAAAGATTTTGACATAAAAAATTCTTTAAAAATCGGAACAATAAATAATGAAACCGTAAATAGTGATTACTTATGAGATTTACTATATATAATATAATATCATGTAAAAAATTGATTTTTAACAACAATTTTTGTATATAAAAATCGTTTGACTAAATTTACTGAAAGATTTTAATTTAATTTTTATAAATTTTTATGGTATTAAAATAATAAATAATTTTTTTATTTAAATATTCATTTTATTTATGTGGTGTAGTAGTGAGTGAATAATTTATATCTATTTGAAATATTTTCGTTACTGATATTTACATAGTTAGTAATTTTTTTAGAGTGTATTATTTATTTTATATATTTAATATTTTTTATATAAAATTTAATTGTTTGTAATTGATTTAAAAATTAATTTAAGTCGAATTATTTATTTATTTAATCAAATTTTGTTCTTAAATTAAAATTTTGATAGTTTATTATTAATTATTCTTAAATAAATAATTTTTTGTTACTATTTTTTTAATTTTTTTTATACATATTGAATTTCTCTGTTATTTACTTTGGATTTTTTAATCTAAATAATATTTATTGACTGTTGACATCTACACACCTTAGCACATATAGCCATTTGGGTACGCATTTTAAAAAAAATATATATTATTTTAGCTGGATAACACAAAAAAAGGAAGTTCCAGAACCTTCACAATAATGTTTCAGTTCTTTTTCAAATATTTTTTTTTAAACAAAAAAGAAAATCACGATTTTTTATAAGTCTCGTTTTTATAACAAAATATTTTAATAAACTTTTATATTGAACAATAAAACAAATATATATATATTGTATATATAATAAATAGTCTTTAATATTTTCACTTTTATCTTTAAAAACAACACGTTAGATATTTTTATTGCTCTTTATTTAAAGAAGAAACACGTCTGAACTGCACGAAGTCTTGCCACTAACTGACATGAATTGCGGTTGCGGGTTCTATCTATAGGCAAGCCAGACAGCTAGCCGCTCGGTTAGGACTGATAAGACTGAAGAGGGAGGTAAATGGAGCAGCAGCAAAAAAATCGGTGATCTTGTTGCTTGCGTAGATACAATTCATATGAGCAATTGACAATCTCCAAGAGCAAGTTTGAGTAAATGAGCGAAGACAAGTGTAGCGAGTACATGTCAATATGTATATATTTATTAAAATAAAATAAAAAAAATAAAAAAAAATCACTTATAGTTTTTTTAAACAGATTCAACTGGGGAATGACCGAAGCGGGAGTAGAGTGAAGTACTTTTAAATGGTATTAAAAGGAATTTTTGTCTTTATATAAAAAAGATACTTTATACCAAATAAAATTTTATACTCACATTTGAAACCAAACTTTTTGTCGTGGAGTATTCTGCGTCTCACTGTGTTTATCGTGCATTTGAAGACAAATTTTAGCCGGTCTTCCTCTTACTCTGCAGGTCTTCGGGAGAATTTTCTTCACTATCTCGTTTGTTTGATATTTTATTGTTGTAATTATATTTTAAAGTATCAGTAAAAATATACATAAATAATTAAGTACCGAGATTTTTATGGGCTTAAATACTTAGATATATACATCTGTATATATATTTGAAGAAACTTGAAATTTCACTATCAAGTTCAATATTATTAAACGGGTGTTGCTACTTCACGTTTATCTTATGAAGAATAAATTGATTTTATATACTTATTTTACTTATCGTATATATAACAACTTATATTTGTCAGGTATCAATTATAATAATTAGATTTTAAAGCATTTATTAAGATTTAGATGTAAATGAATTCATTATTTTAAAACAAGTATTTTTGAAATTCTATAGCAACACTAGTCTCTAAAGTTACATTAGATGATGCCTTTTATATAGTTTCCGATTATCAGATGGTGCTTTGTAATTTGCGATTGCTGCTCGGTATTTTTATATAGTAACAACTATATATTTACTTTGTGCTTCGAAATGCAGTACCTTAATTGGGTGTCAATCCATGCAATCCAGTAGACTTTGTGTCTAGAAACCCAGTACCTTAATTGGGATCAATACATAAAAAAATGTATTATAGTTTGTTAAAAATTGTAATTTCTTTCCGAATTTAATAAGAATCAACAAAAGTACTGTGATATCTTTTTCATATAATTAAATATTATAGATATTTTATATATAATAAAAGGAGCTTATATTAAAATATATTATATATTATATTAAATATATTATATAATATATACATTATATAAATATAAAGCACTTGGAAAAGGCCTTTATATTAGGCCTTCATATTAAAGTAGTACAAAAAAGTAGTGCCTGTTAAAAAGACATTTTCAATATGATCATGTGTGATCAATAGATGTGTGGCAAACATATATAAAAGTATTTTAAAATAAAGTACAAGTTCAATGTGAAACAACA